AAAAATTTTTTTTCTTTTATTTTTTTTGAGACAGAGTCTCACTATGTTACCCTCGGTAGAGGGCTGTGATGTCACAGCTGACAGCAATCTCCAACTCTTGGGCCTAAGTGATTCTTTTGCCTCAGCCTCTCAAGTAGCTGAGACTACAGTTGCTTGCTACAACGCCCGGCTATTTTTTGTTGTAGTTGTCATTGTTGTTCAGCAGGCCCAGGCTGGGTTCAAACCCACCAGCCTTGCTGTATGTGGCTGGCACTGTAACCACCATGCTACAGGTGCCTATTCAAATCTATTTCCCTTGGGCCAGGTGTAATTTAGTCTTCATATCTGTATGGTATATCTTTTTCCTCAATTTCTCTTCTGGGTTTGCATAAATTTTCCTATATATCTTCCTGTATTTGGGTTCATTTCTGTTCTTAATTTGTGAATATATGATCATAGAGTTTTCATATATAAATATTTCCTGATTCCTTTTTGAAGATATTTAATTAAATGTGGAAATTTTTCTTTTTGCTTTTAGAAATTCTCATTAGGTAAAATGTTTAAATTCTCATTTTGATTTCTTCTCACAGTGACTCTTTGGTGAGGTTCTTATTTTGCTTATTCCTTTGCATTTTATGGACAGAATTACTAGGTGAAATATATGCTTTTCTGTCAGGATGGTAAATTCAGTTCCTTTAATAAAATAATGTAAGGGAAAGGAGAAGTTATGTCTTTTAGTTTTGTTTCTTCAGGGTCCTTATTTTTCCTCCTTTAAAAAAATTTTTTTTTATTAAATCATGACTATGTACATTTATGGGGTACAATGTGCTGAATTGATAAATAATGTGGAATGTTTACATGGAACTGATTAATGTTAACTGTCACCTTGCTTGCTCATTTCTTGTGGCAAGACAGTTATACTCTATTCTTAATAGTTTTGAAATGTATTGTTGTATTATGCACATTAGGTGAGGTCCCATCAAATACCCTCCATCCTCCTGACTTAACCCCTTCCCTCCCATCCCCCTCTTCTTCCCTGTTTCTTTCTGGACTATGGTTATGTTTTATCATTTGTATGAAAGTATAGGTGATTTTAAATTGGTTTCATCATAGTACTGAGTACATTGGGTACTTTTTCTTTCATTCTTGAGATACTTTACTAAGAAGTTTATGTTCCAGCTCCATCCAGGTAAGCATAATAGATGTAAAGTCTCCATGGTTTTTATGGCTGCATAGTATTCCACATTGTACATATACCACAATTTATTAATCCATCCAGGTGTCAATTAGCACTTGGGCTGCTTCCATGAAATCTGGAGAATACTCAAGGAACTAAAAGTAGACCTATGGTTTGATCCTGCAATTCCTCCACTAGGTATATACCCAGATGATGAAAAATCATTTTACCACAAAGACATTTGCACCAGAATGTTTATTGTAGCCCAATTCATAATTGCCAAGTTAGTTTTCCTCTTTTATTTGCTGCTTTCCCTTTACTGCTGTGACTCAAGGGGGCATCTCTCCTTTCCCGTCTTCCCTGAAAGAATGCTTGTTGCTGTAGCTGATGCTATGAACTATTAAAGTGCAGGCCTGTGCTCAGCATGTCAATACTTAGTTTCAAACTTTCTCTTCTGGAGGTGATGTTTTCTATGCTTTGTCTATATCCTTTGTGACCCTACCTCTTTTTGTACCCTTTCATAAGCCTTCTTCCCTTGGTTTTATACCCTCAATCTAGTGAGAAAGGCTGTATTGACCGGTGGGAACTCAGTGCTCATTTCTTTAGCTATAGGTGACTTCAGATTTGTGTTCTTTGTCTCCTGGTAATGGTGAAGGTATGTGCCATGAGTAGTTTTTCTTGTGCTCTTTGTAATACAGAGAATGAGGTATGGACTGATGTAAGGCGAGATCAGGGTATAGGCAGCTTCCATTTTCTTAGGGCCAACTAAAACTGTGTGAAGACCCTGTTTGGTGACAGTGATCTTCAGTCACTCAACACTTACTGAGCTTCTTCTATAGGACAAGTGAAATGCTAGACATCAAGGATATAATCTTGAGCAAAACCAAGCATGGTCTTAGCTCATATTGAGCTTATTGTCTGCTAGGGAGCATAGAAATTGATCCCTGCTCTACACATTACAAAGAAAAAGGTCATAGATCTATAAGACTGTGCAGTAAAAGACCCTGGCTTGTCTGGGGAATCTGATAGAAGGATCAGCATGAGTTAAACACCTATGAGTGCAGATAACATGGACTTGCAGTTCTTATAGAACAGTATCAAGGAATTGAAAGTGGTTATAGGGCTGAAGGTTAAGAAAGTGAGGCAGAGATGTTGAGCAATAAGACTAGAGAGCAGGCCGGGAATAGAACATGCAGGTACCCTCTAGGCCATACTAAATATTTTGGTCTTTAGTTGAGGAGATTCAAAAGGTTTTAAGTGTGGATTGAAAAGATGAAATTTGTGCTTTTAAAAGATTTCTCTGGATATACTGTGGAAAATGAATTTCAGAGCTGTCAGAATGAGTGCAGAGGAGACCAGTTTGGAAGCAGGAGTCAAGGTGAGATTTCATGGTAGTTTGTTCTCGTGGAGTGCCAGTGGGCTTGAAGAGGTGGGAATTAATTCTAGAAGTATTAAGAATACAAATGTTAAAATTTAAAAATGGGTTAGATGTGAAAGAATAAGAAAGAAGGCAGTTAACTCTTATGTTTCTGTGAGGGACGACTAGCTTGGTAGTGGTGGTATTTATTAAGACTGGGAAAGGAAGAACAGCCAGTATTTGAGGTCAGTCATAGAGAAGAGATCTTGATTTCAATCTTGGACATTATAAATTTTAGATGAATTTGACCCATCCAATTAGAGTTGTCAAATAGTTTAATATAGAGGTCCATTGCTTGGAAAAACAATTTTTCTTAAGAGTCACAAACTTGAGTATATTTGGTTCATAAAGAAAAGTGAGTATCTTTGGTTGATAAATAATATCAGAAACCATGAAAGTGGATTATCTTTTTTTTTTTTTTTTTTTTTAGATTGCATTCTTCTCTCCTCACTTTGGC